AAATTTTAAATTTTACTTAATTGAAATAGCTACATATGGGCAGTGGCTACTAACTATACTGGATAGCATCATCCTGTGTAAATCTGTGTGAGAGTTTTACATACACAAACATCCAAAAGACTGTACATTTAAGATTTATTTACTTCACTTACATTCTACTTCAGTTTTTTCCTCTGTTTTCCAAAATGCCTTTGTGGCAGTGCTTTATGAAACCAGGGGTCCTGAGGGCGGACCTCCCTGAATCCGAATCAGATCAGGTAGCACAACAAAGCCTCAGTGAGTCACTGAGTCATCACACTGCAGCTCTCAGCCTCAGGTGCTTCTACATTTTCAAAGGAGTTAAATATTTCATCTTCTCCACTTCATTTTTTTATTTTCAAAGAGAAAATTTACCAAGTGTTGATTCTGCTATATTGCCTACTCTTTGTCCAAAGGAACAAAATAATCAAGACCACAATATCTGGGATGTGAAAAATACTCGACGAAAGCAAAGGCTGAACAAATACAGTAAGGTAATTAATTCTTTTGCCACGTTTCCTAGTCAGATTCCCTGTGGAGTTACTGACATGCTTTGAAATTCTTTGGGGAATTATTTCAGTTTTAAAATCTGGTACAGTTTCTGACCATTAAGCATGAAAGACGTTTTTCAAGTTTCATCTGGGATTCTATGTTTCATTAGCAAAAATAAGTATATGCCCTTACTGCCTAGCTGCTACCTCCAGAAAACAGAAAGGACATCAGACATTGAACGATACCCGCACGTCCACCTGGGAAGACCTCCATTAGCTGGATGTCTTTATGGGACCTAAGAGCAGGGTAGCTTATTCAACTTTAGGTTTGGCTGATGGTTTAATAACACAAAATCTCAATACTACCTTACTTAAAAATAACCAACTGTGAGATTTGAATTGTAGCTCTCATAGGGTGAGAGTGCATGGGATTTACTCAGGAAGCACCTCCAGGAAAGGAGCTAGCCTGACAGTTCACAGGAAAATGGCACTGTAAATTTCACCCACACCAATGCTTCAATTCCAGTCTGGAGAAGATAAGGAGAAAGGTGGGATAAATCAAGCTCAACCTCCCTGTCTTTCTGATCTTACTGACAAAAAGGAAGACCCACTAGGCATGAGTGAACCCTTCAATCCACCACCTTAGCTTTCTCTAATGATAAGTGGTTCGTACAAGTTCTTATAAAAACATATTCATTTCACAGAACTAGTTCTTCAAATTCCCATTCCCTAAAGCCCAGCCTTGATTCAACTCGGTTAACTAGTTGACAATCCCATTAAAACTCCATCTTGGCCATTTTCTTCAGTAACGCCAGTACCTTAAATCATCTCATTTCAGAGGTTCTTAAGATCTACAACTAAGGCTGGGCGCGGTGGCTCACGCCTGTAATCCCAGCACTTTGGGAGGCCGAGGCGGGTGGATCACGAGGTCAAGAGATCGAGACCATCCTGGTCAACATGGTGAAACCCCGTCTCTACTAAAAATACAAAAAATCAGCTGGGCATGGTGGCGTGTGCCTGTAATCCCAGCGAGTCAGGAGGCTGGGGCAGGAGAATTGCCTGAACCCAGGAGGCGGAGGTGGCGGTGAGCCGAGATTGCGCCATTGCACTCCAGCCTGGGTAACAAGAGCGAAACTCCGTCTAAAAAAAAAAAAAAAAAAAAAAAAATCTACGACTACCCTCAAACTTTTCGCAGGACTGCATATTAAAACATGCATTTTGGAGGGAGTTCATAGTTTTCATTAGGTTCTTAGTGATCCATAACACAAAAATTTAGGACCCATGGGTGTATTCCGTTTTACAAATTTAGAGTTCTTTAAGTGTTTATCTAGGCAAACTAAAAGTGGTCATTCCTCCACCAACCAGTAATTCTACAAAATTTCATTGTGCTTGGGATTAGTAAGTCTTAGATATTCTACCCATCACTTCTCCTGACATTAACAAGCCAGGGCTACAGGGGTAGGGTAGGAAGACTCGTCCAAGAAGGGGATGATGACACATGGCAAGGAAAGATGGCTGTAAATGCCTGCCACCCTTGTAGGCATGTCCCTCTATAATATAACTTCAATGCTTTTTCTATCAAGAAGCAGAGTCAGTTTTTCCACCCCTTGAAGCTAGGCTTGGTCATGTGATTTGCTTTGGCCAACAGGGTATTAGCAAATATGACACGGGTAGCGAGTTGAAAAATACCTATACATTGAGGTTTCCCCTTCTCTGCTATTAGGAACCCCAGGAGGACCACCATGGGAAGCAGCATGAACTTCACGGGCTGGAAGACGAGACCTCAGCTATCCCTGCTGCCCGAGCTGTGGTCTAGATTGTCAGTAAAGCCATCTTGCCCCAGTCAAGTCAACTGAGACCTAAAGAATCATCGGGCTAACTCACAGAATCATAACAAACAATAATCATTTTTAAAAAATCATTAAGTTTGGGGTGATTTGTTATATTCACAGTAAGTATTAATAAAGCAGAAAAGAGAAAACTCATGGACCAACAAGAGCTATGGGAGGTCCTAAGGTATAGCGTCCCTGGTACCCCTTGACTTGGCCATTTTTTTCTCAGTTCCACTGGAAAGTTTCTACATGAAGATTCCTTGATGGAAGCCTCAATATAAATTTTAAAACTTCACTAAATCCTCTGGATGTCAAGAAACATTTTACTTGAGTTCTTTTTGCTCTCTCAAAAACTTATCTTCTAATGAACAAGACTGAAAAAGTTAATGGTTTATGAATGCCACTTACTTTAAGTAGTTCATACATATAAAACCGGATATCAAAGTCTGTCAGGATCTGGTAGAGTTGCTGAAACAAGAGTCCAGAAAACAGAAAGTTAATTTAGTCTCATTGGGTCTTGTCATCCCAAGTGCAGGCCATTCTCTAAGCTTACTTGATACTTAAGTGACTAAGGTATCCCATGACTTTTTCACTACCTGATCTGAAATAAATGGGAGCAAAGTCTAAAGATGAAGGTTTAATATTTCAATCATAGGATAGAAGAAAAAAAACGGAAGGAATTCCAAGGGAGAAAAACCATTTAAGTCAACTCAGATCTTTCCTATTTAATGCTCTGTGATTTTGCCAATTACAATCATTAACCACAATTACACCATGTGAAGTCTAAGTTGTCTGTCTTCACATTCTTACTGTAAAGAAATCTAACCCCACTGCAGCACCGCAGTATACTCTAGAAAAGTGGGTTCTGAGTGGATACAAGATCTCTGAAGAACTTCACAGGCTACTGTCGTAAAATAGTGGTGAGATAGGCTGTTCTTGAAAGAAATGAGGAAAAAGGAGGTGCTACAGCATTTGCAGATGGCAAGAGCTTACAAAAAAAATCTATACCCTCCGCTCCCGGGAAACCAACTCCAGGCTGGAAAAAAAGAACACTTCACAGGCAACAACTGATGGCTTGGGAGTGAAAAAGAGGGTATCAAAAATGATCACTGACCAAACTAATAAACAGTGGAAAGTTTTCATTACTGATAATCCAAAGATGCACTCACTGGGAGTTTTAAAAAATTTCTAAGAGTAAGAATACATTAATGCTACAAGCTTCATTTAAAGCATCATAAACCCTTGTCAGAAACTCTCATCTTTGATAGTCGATCAAATCCAAGTAAATCTCTTTTCTCATCAATCTAAGCCCCACACTTTCCATAAAATTAAGAAACACGCCTTTATTAAACTTCTCTTGTTCTTCCATTAGGAAAGAGACTCAAGCAATGTAGGGAATCTCTCCAGGGAACACAGAACAGCGTATACAATGTATCTGTGTAATAGCGAGGAAAATAAAACTATACATCCACATTTTCTGTATCTGCAAAAATGATATAGAAGTAATAAAAACTGGTTTCATGTATATATATGTAGAGGGACATGCACCTGGAATACAGGGGAGTAAAAGAGTTTTTTTCACTGTCTACCATTTTATATTTTTGATCCAAATATAATGTTCAAAATATTTTAATAAAAACATCAAATTTGCCAAGAACCAAATTTAACATTTTCTAAGAATACCAGGTCTTTGCTTTCTCAGGTTTCCCCCTTTCAGTAATTTCCCCTTCGAGCTTAGGAAAAAATTTTATTTCATCAACCTCAGGGCAGCGCAGGGAATGAAATATACAGGCCAGCACACAGTATTGTAGAGTGGGTGGCTGGCCCTGGCTGCAGCTGAACCCCATTTAGGCAGAACCGCACCAACAAGCCACTACTTCTGCTCAAGAGAGCTTCAGCTACATAACACATACGCAAGTTTTTTGTTCTCTCCCAGCTCTACTTAGGCTGCACACTGACAGCTTGAATGTACAGACAGAGGCTTAAGATGCCATCTCTTGGATGTCAAAGCAGTTCCTCCTCTGTGAGTTAAGGAAATCATTCACAGAGACTATGCTAAATTGGACTTCAAGTCAATAAATACCCTATGAACTTAAGTCAAAAAATACCCTATGAAAGAGAAAAGATCAAATTTTCTAACCCTTAGAAGGCTGGAGCATTTTATTTCCAAAAAATTAACATGGGCTATTTTATTAGACTTTTATCTGTGGAAGGCTTTCCTCATCATGTGGTACCTACACCATGTATCTGTATAAATGGGTAAGCCATAAAAATAAATGTCTTTAGACTGCCAATAGTATTTCTAGCTACTACAACCATTAACAATTTAATTCAAGACACCAGTTGTATACCAGAATTTAGGCCTAAGATATTACAGAGTCCCTAGTGACTGGCTGCCTTTCACCCTCACTTCTCAGGATCTCTGGGTAGGAGAAGACCAACCTACATCTGTAACATTTAACTGCCTGGGCCTAAAATCCAAGACTATGCAGCGTCCACAGTCTGGCTTCCTCTGACTTTTGTAGCTCTGTTCTTCACTGCACCCCCCAGGAGTCCCTAACTAACAAAACAAGCCCGTGTTTGCTGCCTCCATTCTCTCCTCTCTAGCCCTGCTCCACCTTAGCCTGGAAAGCCAAACCCAACCTGTTTGCTCTCTACAGAGCTGACAATGATACCTTCCTTCTCGGTCTCCATGCCACTGACTCTCCAACATGGCTGTGCACAGGACACCATTAAGAACACAGCGTCCCCAGAGTTAACATTCCTCACACAGGGACTGGTGGTGACCTCGAGTTCTCACGGTGATTCCTCACTCTGCTGTGTGCTTTGTCCAGACCCCCAAGAATCCCATGCCAACATTCCCTGTGCTTCATGGCATACGCATATGATTGGGAGAAATGGGTACAGTGGCTGGTGGCAGACTCATCAAATTTGGTGATAAAAGATCTCTGAACTCCCCCCACGACCCAAGTATGCCAATGGCCCACTCAACAACCCACTCCATACCACTCCCACTTCCCACACTCAGCTCCAACCACAAACTAAATCCTCACACAGCAGAAGAACAGGTGCTTCATACACCAAACACCACGTATGGCAGTTCTGTCTTGCATACATGTTTTTTCAATGTTCATAGTCAGTGGAACAAAAACAGAAGCAATTTTCCAAGAAACAGAAGTATCAAGAGTCCATGACACATTAGAAAGAGGAACGTCACAAGAACCACACTTTCCCTCCCTTCTCCTTAGCCAGCTATGGGGAGAACATTATTAAAAAATCCACTGCAAAATGCTGGCAGGAAGTCAGCTTTGCTTACATTTTCAAAAACTAAACGACTTAAAAAGTGGAAATTTCCTGGGCCTTTTAATTAGCTCCAAAAAGTCTAAGGAAAAGAATGGCAGAAATTGTAATTTGATCATCTGAACCAGGGCCCCCATGGTCTAAAACCACAGACACCCACAATGGCATGACCATATGTGGGCCTTGCTGCTACCGTAGGCATATGAACAGCTGTTCAGACTCCAGCTGCAATTCAGCTCCATCACCGTGAGCCACGGATTCAAGGACCCCATTCCCACCATGACCTTCGGGAAGATCACACTTTACAAGAAAGCTTCCCAGGTAGCTCTGGTTAGTCCGTGCCCATAAATCCCTGAAGTCATGTGTAGAGAGAAGAAAAAGTGGTGGGATATATAAAGTCAAAGCAAAAAAGGTGTTTACTGTACTAGTCACCAGTTTAAGAATTGTTTACAAGTAACCCCCAAGATCCAGAATAACACCAAGGTCAACATTTTTAGAAATTTAAGGAAGTAGAATAAATCTTTAATCAAGCAGATCAAAGTTATTACAAGTCACGTGAAAATGTCACTTATTTTCCTACAAGGAAATAACAAAATGTCAACAACCTATAACAACATACATGACAGTGACAAAGAAGTACAGCTGTTTCCCCAATTAAGGAAACTGTATTTAGTCTGTGAACTCAGGCCTCACATCATCTACTAAGTGGTGATTTACCTCTATATGTGAGCAATTTAGAAATTCTCCAAATATCAATGTGACTCTACCAGCTTCTTGGGATGGAGCCCATTTGGAATGTCTTATCAAAATCCTTTTTTGTATTTCAAAATAGTACCTTAGCTTCCCTTGAGACACTTTTTTTTTTTTTTTTTTTAAATTGAGACAGAGTCTTGCTCTGTCACCCAGGCTGGAGTAAAATGGAAAGATCTCCGCTCACTGCAACCTCTGTCCCCCAGGTTCAAGTGATTCTACTGCCTCAGCCTCCCCAGTAGCTGAGACTTACAGGTATATGCCACCACGCCTGGCTAATTTTTTGTATTTTTAGTAGAGACATGTTTTCTCCATGTTAGCCAGGCTGATCTCAATCTCCTGACCTCAGGTGATCTGCCCACCTTGGCCTCCCAAAGTGCTGGAATTACAGGTGTGAGCTACCATGCCTGGCCTGAGACACAAATTTTAAGTATGCAAAGTTGCTGCAATTATTCATTCCAACTCTTACAGATTGGCTTTTCTCATTCACTCTGAAGCTTTGTCTTGCTCTAAAATATATTTATTACAGTTTTGGCATATATGAAGCATAAAAACTTGATTTTAAGGAGAAACTGACCAAACCAATACCTCCACCAGAAGGTGAAATACAAGAAAAAAAAATTAGTAGACCATAATTCTAAACTAAATTAACAAGTTTGGTATAAAAAATGATCATGTGCTAAAGTTACAAAGCAACCATCAACAAATCCCAAATAATTAACATTATACAGGTCATGTTCTCTGAACATAGTGCAAAGAAATTTTTAAAAATTTCAACTGGATCCTGGATCATACATTCACAAACACACAGCTACGAAGGACATTGCTGAAACAATAACCAGAGAGAAACTTCTGAGTGTGAACTTTGTCTTAGATGGCAATATTGTATAAACATAAAAGTTCTTCGGTGTACTAAGAGTATCGTGGTTTGCGGAGGAAAACAGCCTAGCTTCAGTGCTAGCATATTTACAACTGATGTATCATAATGATGTCTGCAACTTACTTTAAAATGGCTCAGCAAAAAGATAAAATAGAGATAGGAGAGGCTGGGTGTGGTGGCTCACACCTGTAATCCCAGCACTTTGGGAGGCCAAAGTGGGCAGATCACCTGAGGTAAGGAGTTCAAGACCAGCCTGGCCAACATGGTAAAAACCTGTCTCTACTAAAAATAAAAAAAATTAGCCGGGTGTGGTGGTGCACGCCTGTAGGCCCAGCTACTTGGGAAGCTGAGGCAGATGAATCACTTGAACCTGGGAGGCAGAGGCTGCACTGAACCAAGATCAGGTGACTGTACTCCAGCCTGGGCGACAGAGCAAGACTCTGTCTCCCAAGAGAAAGAGAGAGAGAGAGAGAGAAATAGAAAGAGGGTTAGGGGACAGGGAGAGAAATAACTGTAAATGTGGCAAAACAGTAACAACTGGTAAATCTAGGTGAGGGGTACAAGGGTACTGATCGTGCTACTCTTTCTACCTTTCAAAGTAAAAAGTCTGGGGAGAAAAATGCAAATTCACAATGTTGCAGTTTGGACTTCTAGTTTGAAAACTATCCAGAAGTGAGTTCTACAACCACGGATGCAGGTAAAACGATGCTTAGGGTTGTACAAACTTAAGCATATGTATTGCCAAGAAAAACAAAGACGAGTTTAATTCAACTCGAGAAATGATGAAGAAAACCACTGAGAGCCCAACAAGGTTGAAGGAAGAAAGAAGAAAAATAAGATAGGAGCAGAAAGAAAACAACTAACAAAAATAACAGCTGAGCAATAAAATCAAAAAGCTGGTTCTTTTAAAGGATTAATAAGAGATCTCTAGAAAGACTGATTTAAAAGGAAAAAGAGTAAAGGCACACACACTGTTTAAAAATGTGAAGGAAAGGATAACTACAGATACGCCAGAGGTTTTTTTTTTTTTAAGTGACCAGTCAACAGTATAGTTTTTAAGTTCTAAGAGAATTATGTCAATCAAATTCAAAGTGAATAAAATACATATTATCCAAATAGGCTCAAGAAGAGATAGATAACCTGGATAAACCTTTAACCTATAAAACGCTTTAAAAAGGGAAGTTCAAAGTCTTCCTCCCACCCTTGAAAGACATGTACCCAGATAATACCTATCTAATATATAAACTTGTAGAGAATAGGAAGAGGAAAAGCTACTCGATCTATGTTACATCAAATATAACCTTGATACCAAATTTAGAGAAGGACCCTATGATAAAATAAAATCAGAGATCAAAATTTATAATCCATTTCACCAATATAAAATACGGAAAAGAATGGGCTGTGGGCTGCATCACTGTTAATTCGCCCTGATATTAAGCCAGGGACAAACACTCTCCGGGTGATAACCTTAAAACCAGTTATTAATAGACTTTACACTAAAATGAAAAAGGTAAAAAATAAAAACAAACTTTCCTAGTAAGATGGACACAGGACAAAATAAAAAGATTAAAGGACCTCAGGACATTGAACTGAATAATTCTCTGTTTGTGGCCTGCCATACTATCTGGAAAAGAATATAATTTTCCTGCCATGATTTGCTCTTCAAAAAATACACATCTGCCATCTGATATTTAATGATCTCTTAAGTTGACTAAAATATCATGCCTTGAACATTCAAAGGGGACCTCCAGTTAAACATGGCAGATCAAACACCTCTGCTCTACCTGAAACTCCTCTAAAGTATCAGTAAAAGGGGCAGGGAGATTAAATCATAAGAACTAAGAAGACAGAAGAAACAACATTGTGAAGCTAGAAAACGTGTCTCTACCAACAGTGAAAGGGGGCCAGAAGCAAACAGCTTCAAACTGAACAACGTCAGAAAGGCTCAGGACTGGGGACCCCCAATGTTGGTCTAAAAGAGCAGACAGAGTGCAGTGGAAACAGAAAAATGGGTTTAAGATGCCACATTGAAAACTGGAGAATTAGGTGAAGTGTGCACCACACTCCCCATGGTTCTCAACTTGAGGCTAAGATACCAGCAGCTAAGTTTGCATCCTTGAGACAGGGGCAGCTGATGGCTCTTTAGAGCAATAAGCAGACATTCAAGAACCATCCAGAGACAAATAACAAAAACTCACACACAAAGATAGAGGAAAAAGTATGAAGGGGAAAAATACAATATTCTTAGTGAGAAAATAGAAGGTATTACATAAAACATAAAAGAACAGGATACTATTTTAAAAAGTTCTGAGACCAAAATGGAGCTGTAAGATGTGAAGTCTAACATTTGAATGAGTTCTGGAAAGTGAGAACAAAGAAGAAAGGGGAGAAAAATCAAAGAACATTAAAAATATTTTTCCAAAACAGAGGGGAAAAGGCCCAGCAAGTATGCAGAACAAAAGATAAAAGGGACCCATATGAAGGCACGTCATTGTGAAATTTCAGAAGACTGGAAATGAGAAAATCCTAAAAGCTTCCAGAGGAAAAACATAAAAACAACAAAACCATCGCATAAGATGAAACCAGAATGGCTTCAGTGGTAATACTGGAACAATCTCTTCAAAATCAAGGAAATTATGAATTATAATCAAGAATTCTATACTCTAGCAAGTACACTAATTGGCAGGACAAAATAAAAATGCTTTCAGATATGCAGGCCTCAAAAAAACATGAATTTCTCATGATCCCTTTAAAGAAAGCTATGAGAGAATGCATGAAACATCCCCTTTGAGGGTTAAGACCCCAGAGAGAATTTCTCTAAGAAATTAGAATTCCCACTAATTGATCTTTAGCATGTTGTTAAATCAACAGAGCAGATGTCACTTTAAGAAATACAAAATGCAGAGGTAAAATTCTACACGTGTAGCTTGACAATTGGTAAAAACTCATTAACGAGGCACAGGCATTTAAAACTTGGGGAATTGCACTATGAAGTTCCATTCAGATCAGCCTTTAAACTTTTGCATTAGGAAAATGTTTGGTTTCATTAAAGTCTGTCTGGTTTTCTAAGGCATGCACACACATTCCCACTCACATATACCAGGATAAACCTGGGTGATTCACAGGATCAGCTACACGTACGTAACAGCACAGTACCCTACCAGCTAAGTGCTGTTACGCTATTGAATGAAAAAATTTACACCCCGTTTAATTTTAGAGTCCATTGCTGATTTCACCTGTAAAGGGTCACATTAACAAGAAAATCTATCACATGTGGGAAGTGCTCTACACGTAAAACTTCCTACTTATTGTTTTATAAGTCGAAATATCTTCTTTTGCTTACTTTTCACTAATTGACCTTGTTTTAGTCATTTTAAAGTGATTAAGAAAAATTAAGTGTGAGAATAAGGTTCTATTTTCACCCAGAACCATCCCTCCTGATACCAACATCTTTCAACTGCTGATTTTTTGTCTCTAGCTCCTGTCACAACAAAATCACAAGTCTCTTATTCACTGACAGAGTTACAATCAACTACAAGTCCTCTAAATGCCCCTGAAAATCAACGCTATTTTGTTTGTGTATTGGTTTTCAAATTATGCTCTAAAAAAGAGTTTCTACCATATCTAGCAGGCCCAACCCCAAAAACCTTGATCGAAATTAAGGTTTTAATGTTTGAACAATAAAATTTGTGAAAAACCAGTTTAAAATCGTGATTTTACTTAAACATGTCAATGTCTAAAATAATTTACATTATAAGAAAATGTTAAAAACTCGGGATAGGCCTCTTCTAAAGCACTGAACTCTGGTTTTTCTGAATCCATTTCTTTGTACGTCACGTGCACAAACACACATTCATTATTTGACCGCACTGAATCCAAAGCATAGCTTCTTTTCACAAGAGCCTTGCATCAGTCTAACCCTTCCTCTCGGCAAAGTAAGATCTCGTACGAAAATCAAAGTTAACATACAATTTAAGCTATGCTGCCTAAAACAGGAGTGTTACAGATGAGGCATTAGCTTAGACCCAGCCGAGCAGTTACTCCTGGAATAGGCAAGGCAAAGGGTGATGAGTAATTTCACCCAATGCAAGAACCCTAATGCATCCTGTATTCACGCTTTAAGGAACCCAATCTGTTATTTCCTACTCTCATCAATGACAGCCCTGGCTGCTTGGGTTCTGGAGTACACAGTACTTATTACCACCTCCCCCTCACCCCGTTAACCCCATGCCAGAAAGAAAAGCATACGCACCTTAAAATCTGTATTATTGATATATTCAAATACCAAAGCTGGTGTCTTTGACTGTAAAAGAGAATAGTAATGCTTTTTAAGTATCCAAACAATTATCAATATAATCTGCTTCTGCCAAAATGGCCCATCCCCAAATCCCACTTAGGTAACAAAGGGATTCGCTTATCGGGGACAGCCTGTCAAGAAAAGTATTCTCTTGAAATTTTATGATGTCTGGAATTTGTTTCAAAATAACTGGGGATAGTGGGAGGTAGGAAGTGGTGGGAGTATAGATGAAACAAGGTTGGCCACGGCTGATTAACTGCTAAAGTTGGGTCATGTGTGAAGGAAGATTCATTATATTATTCATTTACTTTTGAAAATGATTGAAAATTTCTTAAAAGTTTTAAAAGGAATGTATTCTGTGAATAACCTACCAAGGGCCTTAACCAATCTTCAATGGTTATGTGAGGATTTACACCCTGTATTGTTCCAGTTTGCCAACTATATACAAAAAAAAAAAAAGTGACACATTTTCATCTTAGTTTAGCAAGCCAGAATTGTGCTTGACAGAATTATCATAGGTTTTGGGAGTGTATCATAGGTCTTTTGGGGGTCCAAAAGGAAAATATAACCATCCGTGACATTATCAATAAACTACACTATACTATTACTGCCTTGACTAGAGACCATTAAAAATTGTCTCATCTTATCAAGCAGGCCTGTTCCTAAAAACTCATATATAATCAATATTTTTAAAGCACTATAATCTTTAATCCAATGAGGACAAAAATGTTCAATATTATCTTGTGTAAATCTACATTTTCAAATATCAGATTTCCTTAAGTAAAGTAAAATCATGCTAATTGGCAGTAATAAGCTTTCAAAATTGGGAGAAAGCAGACTTACGGGACTACGGGGGAAAAAAAATCATCTAGAATCTTTTGCTCAAGGACCATGTAAAAGTTACCTAGGAAACAGGCCACAGGGCAGCATGCATCTCTGTTTGAGGACAACTCAGAGTCCAAACAGCAGCCCCAGTAGCAGCCATGATTAAGTAATTCTTCACCAGCCTGAAGCTATAAGGGTTTCATCAACATTACCATCTCTCTGTACAGGCTGTGAAGTAAGCCTGATCTTCTAACACACAAGAGGTCCCTGTTGATTTTTGTCAACTTCAATTTACTTGTCTTATGTATCATGTAAAACACACACACACTTAAACAAATTACAAAAATAAGATGTATCACTAAGTTTCGTTAAAAGCAAAAAAAAAAAAGCTCCTGGTGTACCACATACTCACGTTTTTAAAATTATTTTGAAATTCCTATTTTTACATGGTGCTCACTTTTCAATGTGTACTCATTTTTAATGCAGTCTATTTTCAAACATGAGGCAGTCTAGAACTAGTCATTATAAAATCAAACTGTGCTAAAAGGACAGGATATATCTTAAAGGCCAAACTAGTTACAATCTGGCATACAACCATCCCTTCCCTTCTCAGTCTTTTCAGGGTCCAGAAGGAAAAACTTGCCTTATGGACCTTCAGTTCAAGATTACTGTGTAATCTTGAGTAAACTTTTTAACTTCTGCAAACTACAGTTTTCTCATCTGTACAATGTGAACAATAAATGTTACCTACCCCAATGGACTGTTGTGAGGACTGAGTGACATGACACAGTTGGGCACTTGGAATGTGCCTGGCATATAGTAAGCACTCAATGCATGTTAGCTACTACATTATTATGAGGATGTCTTTAGCAGCCAGAAGCAAAAACCTATTTCTTTAAGTAACAAAACTACCATGGGAGGAGAACAGGGAAATATCTGAGGTAGAGCAGGTGGAGAACAGCAATGGGACAGGAGAGGGTATAAAAATGGGGAGGTGAGGTGTCTCTAATCTTAGCTAATCAAAAACACCTAAGGTTGTTACTCCCTAGGAAAAGAAAAAATTAAACAGAACATCTACAATGACTAAACTTTAAGCATTAACAAAAATATTTTAGTTTATCTACATATGTGACGTGAGCCCTAAGGGCAAATGCTGAATTAAGGGAAAGAGCAAGACTTCTTCAAGGAGTCGGTAGAGTGGGGACCTGCTCAGGCCTTTATGCCAGGTGTCCACGTGGAGCTATTCATCATTTCCTGTGTAAACCCAGATTTTCAAATGTCATGCTTACTTAAGTGAGGTACAGTAATGAACTTTCAAAACTGGAGAGAGGCAGGGGCTTAAAGGAGATATTCAGCAAACATTTGTGGGCTGAATCAAAATAGTGAAGTACAAACTCAGAAGAGGGATTTTTCTCTGTACACTTTTGTTTTGTTTTGTTTTTTTAAGACAGAGTTTTGCTCTTGTTGCCCAGGCTGGAATGCAATGGTGCAATCTCGGCTCACTGCAACCTCTGCCTCCCGGGTTCAAGCAATTCTCCTGCCTCAGCCTCCCAAGTAGCTGGGACTACAGGTGCGCACCACCACACCCAGCTAATTTTTATAGTTTTAGTACAGACGGGGTTTCACCATATTGACCAGGATGGTCTTGATCTCCTGACCTTGTGATCTGCCCACCTTGGCCTCCCAAAGTGCTGGGATTACAGGCGTGAGCCACCGCGCCCGGTTTTCTCTATACACTTTTAGGTTCCTTCGCAGTGGTGGTAGCTGTTTTATCACTGGGCCACCATGAATTTTTTCTGGTTTTCAAACAAGTCAGTAGTTAAGACAAACACCATCATCCCCACTATATCATTATTTGAGATTCTGTGTGTTAACCAACCCCTATATCCACACCCCAGTCTACTAGTATACTCCCCCAACCATTTGGCACCTACCACAGGATCCTTTACAGTGTCAATCAGCTTAATGATATTTGTTCCACCACGAAGGTTCTCCAGAATCTTAACCTCTCGTTTTATCTTCTTTTTCTTCACTGGCTTAAATACACAAGAGTAATCAGAAGTGAGACTCCTTCTGAAGTTAATAAATAAAACTTTAAAGCAATGTTAGCCAATCAGATGGACAGTACGCTATCTTGTACACTCTGTTGCATTAAAGAGCATGCCTAAATTAGAAGAGAAAAAACTGAAATAGAATGGGCTTGCCTGTAAGAACCTTTAAGTTAAATAATTTACAGACTCATACAGCTTATGTGTCAAGATCGTGAAGTAGTTACACTGAGGGCACTGAAAAATTTTGAATACCCAGATCACACTTTAAAAATAAAACTCCTGCTTACTAGATAACTGCCAAGTGGAAAATATAGCTCTGAACAGCTGTATATCATGCATTCACAAACGGAAAAACCGAAACAAAATGGTGAGACACCTGCTCTTCCAATGAGTTACATGTAATTTTGTCTTTCAGGAGTGAAAGACCAGTTCACTGATATCAAGTTACAAACTTGCTTCCCAGCTGCCGGCTCTCATTTCCTGTCGCCACTCCCATTTCCTTAATATCTAGAACCTGAAATCAGCACAGAGCCAGTTAATGTTTCCCAACAGATCCCATTCCTAAAGAGAGAGATGTTCAATCAGGAAAGGAGAAATCAATCTGATACAACAGTGACTGAAAACTTCTATCTAACTTTTCAGTCTGCTGGAAAGATTAAACACTTTAAACATAATTATTGTCATTACACACATTATTTCTTGTCTTAAATGAGCTGAAGAGTTCGAAGAAGAATAGAAGCAGTTCTGAAAAAGTAAGTCTATCATAATCAAGTATGCTTTATAAGGCACTCAGAGTGGTGACCGGAAAACAGTAAGCACCCAATAAATGATAAGTATTATTATTTTCATATTTTTAGTAATTTATTATCTAATAATGTCATTTTTAATCTTCACAAAGTCTCTGCATAGCAGAGTTGAGCTATCTGCCCAAGATCACACAGCTCATGGCAGAGTGGGGCAGGAATCAAAGCTGGGCAGTCTGACTGCATGCTATACTCTTGCCATAGTGCTTTTGTTTCCCAAGTGTGGCTAACAGAGAAACGTAACTAAGGAAAAAGAGTATTTCATCACTGAAACACTGTTATAATAGCAGAGGCAAAGAGAGGTCAATGGATTTGCCAAGAAATAATAAAGCAAGACTTAAAAAGCCTGTGTGTGGGGTGGGTAAGGGGAGGGGAGGGGGAAAAGGTAACATACACACATGCCAGAGAAACCTTCATCTTTTGTTGGTCACTAAGAAACAGCTTTGAACACACAACGAAACAGAGAGAGAGAGGACTATGAAACACAGAGCTCTTGCATCACCTATGACAGGGTGCTCAACTCAGAGACTGGACTCGCGCTGCGTCCTTGTGAACCAGCTGCCATGATGATATCCACTCTCTGCCCTCTATGCCAGGATTCCCAGGAGAGCAGATATGGCTGCTGTGCATGTTCCCCGACTCCACTTAGAAACCTTACTCCTTAGTCCTTTTCCGTTAACGAGGGAGCTCGAAACTTTGGGGCAAAAAAGCACTGTACAATCCAATCAAAAAATAGCCAGGAAAGGACACACTACAAAATAACTGGCCTGTAAGATTCAAGTATGTCAATGTCATGAAACAAACTGAGCAACTCTTGCAGATTTTTAAAATGTGACAACTGAATGTAACACATGACTACAACTGCATATAATCATGTAATCTGGGATTTTCCTTTGTTATAAAGAACATTATAAGGATAACAGGCAAATGTGAATGAGAGTTGTAGATTAGCTAACAGCATTGCATCAACTGTTACCTTCTGATTTTTGAATGAGGCATTGTAGGGTTATGTAAGATACTTCTTATTTTTAAGAAATGCGGCTGGGCGCGGTGGCTCACGCCTATAATCCCAGCACTTTGGGAGGCCAAGGCGGGTGGATCACGAGGTCAAGAGATCGAGACCATCCTGGTCAACAAGGTGAAACCCCGTCTCTACTAAAAATACAAAAATTAGCTGGGCATGATGGTGCGTGCCTGTAGTCCCAGCTACTCGGGAGGCTGAGGCAGGAGAATTGCTTGAACCCAGGAGGCGGAGGTTGCGGTGAGCCAAGATCGTGCCATTGCACTCCAGTCTGGGAAACAACAGCGAAACTCCGTCTCAAAAAAAACAAAAAAAAAAAGAAAAGAAATGCATACTCAAGTATTTATGGATGACTACGATTTACTCTCAAGCAATTCAGGAAAAAATATGTAACATAAATTTAATTATATAGATGTATATATGAGACAGAAAGAAGGATAAAGCAAATGTTAACATTTGAGGAATCTGGGTGAAACATATATGGGAATTCCTGCAACTTTTTTTTAAGTCTGAAATTATGTTAAGAAGTTAAAAGAAAAAGAAAAGGTGGTTTTTTTTTTTTTTTTTTTTTTTTTTTGAGAGGGAGTCTCGCTCCGTGGCCTAGGCTGGAGTGCAGTGGCATGATCTCAGTTCACTGCAACCTCCGCCTCCCGGGTTCAAGCGATTCTCATGCCTCAGCCTTCCAAGTAGCTGGGACTATGGGCACGTGCCACCACACCTAATATTTTTGTATTTTAGTAGAGATAGGGTTTCACCATGTTGGCCAGGCTGATCTTGAACTCCTAACCTCAGGTGATCTGCCTGCCTCTGCCTCCCAAGGTGCTGGGATTACAGGCATGAGACACCGTACTTATAAATTCAGCCAATATTACCAGTTTAGTCAATGCCTTTTAAGAAAATTCTAGAGTTGTCATCCAGTACTGGAAAGCAGCTATAGATCTGTGGGAGTGGTAACAGAGAGAAAAAACCCCACAGCCAGAGGCCTATATCCACCAAAAACCTCTTCTCCTCCTAACAGTCCTCCTAACTCCTTACAGGGGCAACCCATTAGTTGCCTTTATGATGCTGCTCCACGTAAAGTCTTGCATTGCTCTCTGGTTATTCAGCAACAGGTCAGGCCTGGACAACCCAGTTAAGATTAACCTATCGCTCAATATGTCTAAAGGCATCTGACATAGCAACTGAAGCACATTTTGCAGTACACCAGTTGTCTAACAACTTCCCAAACTAGAGACTGGGAATAGCAGGGCAACTCTGAAGGTGGCACAAAGAAGTCCCATGGCAACTAGAGTCCTCACATGCTGACAAAAGACCAAGAGATGATAAAAAAGGAAAGTGGCTGACCCACAGTCCAGGCCTCTTCCCTCCAAACCATCAAGAACTAGGCTACAGGTAGATCCCTTCAGTCTCAGTTTATTCCCCTGAACTGGAGGGACGCCCGAGAAGCGAAACCACCAATGGGCTCTGAGGAACTGAAAGTGATCCTTTTAATGTGAATCACAAATAAAAAGTTAGGATCTTTAAAGGAGGATCGTTGGCATCCTAAGGAAAATAAACTGAGTTTTACAGAAATAAGGATGCTTCGACTCTCCTGTCCAGAGCCTATAGCTCTGTACAGCTGTCTGTGTAACCATCAGTTACACAAAATAGAGAACACACATACATTTCCACAACAATCTCACAATTTCACTTTGCATCCTAGAAAAAGCTTCCATCTGTGTTTCACATATTCCCATTCACAGAATATGTTTAAAAGATTCAAAGTTTAGCTATTCTCCAAACCAAAAAAAAAAAAAATTTTTAACTCAAAGTCTAATAGACAAAGTGGTAAAAATGAACTGACAAATTCAAGCCAGGCAGAAATATATCAACAGCTCCTAACTCTCAATTTGGGTTACAAACATTTACTCTACTACCAAGCCAACAACTGCTCCACTAAGATATTAATTTCATCACCTGCAATGAACAATTACAATGAACAATGGTTGCCAGGAATGAGGAAGGACAGGGTAAAACAAAGTTCAGCCTGGACAATGGCATGTATTTGACTACGCCGGTGGCATCCCTAAAACCCACTGCATCTGAGCTAACTAAAAACATTATCTGAGCAACATTATTTCATCACAGAAAACTTTTCCTCTAATCTTTCAAGTCTCATCATCTCAATTACACAATCAACTCCTTGAGGATAATTATTTATTCTCAGGATATTAAAAAAAATTATTTAAAAAGGCAAGGCATAAAATCAAAATGATAATCAGATACCACCTCATACAAGTCAGGATGGCTGCTATCAAAAAAACCAGAAAATAAGTGTAGGCGAGGATGTGGAGAAATAGCCACACATGCACATTGTAGACAGAATGTAAAATGGTACAGCCACTATGGAAAGTTCCTCAAAACATTAAAAACTGAATTACCTATGATCCAGCAATTCCACTTCTGGGTCTATACCCAAAAAAAAGTGAAGCAGAGCCTTCAAGACGTATTTGTACACTCACATTCAAAGCAGCATTATTTACAATAACTAAAACATGGAAGTAGCCCATCCACTGATAGATAAAAGGCTAAACAAAATGTTGTATATACATACAATGAAAAATTATGTAGCCTTAAAATGGAAGGAAATTCTGACACATGCAACGCTGATAAACCTGGAGGACAATATGCCATCATGCTGTATGAAATAATCCAGTCACAAAAGGATAAATACTGTATAATTCCACTTATATGAGGTACCTGGAGTAGTCAAATTCATACAAACAGTAAAATAGTTGTTGCCAGGAAATGGGGGGAGGGAGAAATGGGTAGTTACGGTTTAATGGATACAGAGTCTCCATTTCACAAGATGAAAAAGGGTTATGGAGATGGATGGTAGTGACGGCTGCACAACATTACCCACTGAACTGTACACTTAAGAATGGTTAAGCCGGGCGCGGTGGCTCACGCCTGTAATCCCAGCACTTTGGGAGGCTGAGGCGGGTGGATCACGTGGTCAAGAGATCGAGACCATCCTGGTCAACACGGTGAAACCCTGTCTCTACTAAAACTACAAAAAATTAGCTGGGCATCGTGGCGTGTGCCTGTAATCCCAGCTACTCAGGAGGCTGAGGCAGGAGAATTGCCTGAACCCAGGAGGCGGAGGTTGCGGTGAGCCGAGATCGCGCCATTGCACTCCAGCCTGGGTAACAAGAGCGAAACTCCGTCTCAAAAAAAAAAAAAAAAAAAGAATGGTTAAGATGGTCAATTTTGTTTGTTAATTTTTTTTTTTCTTTTCTTTTTTTTTTTTTCAGACAAGTTTTGCTTTTGTTGCCCAGATTGGAGTACAATGGTGCAATCTCAGCTCACTGAAACCTCCACTTCCCGAGTTCAAGCAATTCTCCTGCCTCAGCCTCCCGAGGAGTGGGGATTACGGGCGCCTGACACCATGCCCGGCTAATTTTTTGTATTTTTTGTAGAGATGGAGTTTCACCATATTGGCCAGACTGGTCTTGAACTCCTACCTCAGGTGATCCGCCCGCCTCAGCTTCCCAAAGTGCTGGGATTACAGGCGTGAGCCACTGCACCCAGCCTATGTTATGTGTTTTAACACCAATTTTTTTTTTTTTTAAGGCAAGGCATAGAGCAGACCCTTTGAATCACAACAAGAGAACGTTGCAACCCTTTCTACTATTGGTTCTATCTTTAAAATCATTTGCACGGCCCAACTGTAATATTGCCATTACTACTATACTTTACTGATTTCTCAGGCCAGGCACTGTTTTAAGTACATTTAATCCTCTTAGAAGAGCACTATCAACAGTTTTACTTGAGGAAGGACATCAAGGCACAGAGAACTTAAGCAACTGTTCAATGTCATAGAGTGTCTGCAGTTGGAATTAACACCTGAATCCAGGCAGACCGCTTCCTAGGCCTGAGAAAAGCATTTTGTAGATTTTCAAAAACATGATCATCTATCTCTCTACCCATCAATATACAGTTTACCTGACTTTGCTAACAACTCTGTGACTTAAGCAGGAAATGTATGCTTATTTCATAGATGAGAAAACAGTCAAGTGGGTATCAATCAAGAAGCTAGTTCTGGAACTCAAGCCTTCTGCTCTCATTTATAGCACTTCATACACTACACCACCCTGATTATAAGACAGCAGATCCTGAAATTAAACTCTAGAAACTATCTGGAGCCCTGCTTTATACACAAAAATGGGTACACTATCTCAAGATATTCTTTTCACACATGGTTTGCTCTTAAATAAACTCATGTATTAAAGGGATAAAACTGTTAATCCCCAAATCTGGCAAGTGATCATGCTGAGACTGGAGGGGCTCTATGGGTTAAAAAAAAAAAGCATAAAAACACTACTTATTGAGGCTTCAAACCAAGACAGTAAAGTAGCATTTCATTTAAGTATTAAACTTGCTGCTGTGGATACAAATCACAGAGAACCCTCCCTGGGCCCCTACAGCCCTCTAGGACTCTTGGATTCCACTCTTCAACCAGCAACCTACCAAAGTCAAACACTTCCTTTGAGAAAAATAACTAAAAATCATTAGAAACAAATTATCTTCATTTGACTCCTGGTGAGTGTCCCTCAATTCTTCCAGTACAGATCAGTACATCACAAAGTCAAACATCCAGAAAATGTCCTAATTATGCTCCTCACATCTACCAAGACTTCAGGACAGGTACACAGGATCCTACACCGAGTGCTTCCACCCTCTGACTACATGATGCTGAGCAGACACATCCTTTCTCTGGGTCTTGGTTGATTTGTAAAAAGGGCCTAGATTCTAATGGTTTCTAAACACCACATTCTGTGATTCTGTGTGACACAGGTTAACAACACTCTTTTTTTTTTTTTTTTTTTTTGAGACGGAGTCTCGTTCTTGCTACCCAGGCTGGAGTGCAATGGTGCAATCTCGGCTCACCGCAACCCCTGTCTCCTGGGTTCAGGCAATTCTCCTGCCTCAGCCTCCTGAGTAGCTGGGATTACAGGCACGCGCCACCATGCCCAGCTAATTTTTTGTACTTTTAGTAGAGATGGGGTTTCGCCATGTTGACCAGGATGGTCTCGATCTCTTG